ATAAAATAAAATCAGGCATAATTAGTCAAATTAAATAACAGAATCTATACTTACAACATAAACAAATGTATGACACGGAAACATAAACTTAATCAGGTACAAGCACAGGCTTCTACATAAGCCTCGCAACATATTTGTTACATATTGCATGGTAAACTATTCTCACATGGTTTACTGACAACTGCGCCACCTCAGTGATTATTAAAAATACACGCATTCACAGCCTAAATCCGAAAGATAACTGAAGTCATTGCGACGACAGACGGATAAGGATGCCTTGGGCACATCCCATTCCCACTGTCTAACACCTAGAACTTTTTACGCAATGTTGGGATTAGGTACCGGTGACATGTCGTTCTTCCTCGTGTGGGTCTTGATGTGTTTGGCGAGGTGATCGCTTCGAATGAACCTCTTGCCGCAGACGGGACAGGCGAAGCGCTTCTCGCCCGTGTGGGTGCGGAGGTGCCTCTGGAGTTCATCACTCCGCGTGAAGCGCTTGCCGCAAAGTAGCCAGGAGCACAGGAACGGCCTCTCACCGGAGTGCCAGCGCATGTGCGCCTTAAGGTGGGACGACTTGCCGTAGGAGCGGCCGCATCCGGGCACCTCACAGGGGTGCACCCGGGAGGGAAGGCCACCGCTGCTGGGGGAGTCCGCGCGCACACTGCCGCCGCTGCTGCTGCCGCTGTCCCTGGGCGCCGCCTTCATCGCCCTGCACTTGGCGCAGCGGCACTTGGTGGCCTTAGTCTCGTCGTGCTCGGGCTCCTTGCGAACTGCCCTGGGGCCGCGCGGGCCGCGGGGTCCGCGGGGGGCGGCCGCGCCGCGAGCGGAGGGCGAGTCGCGGGCAGGCGCGGCCGGCACAGCTTCGGGCTCAGTCTTGACGGTGGCCATGGAGGCCGAGTAGTACTGCGAGTGAAGGGGGGCGGCGGACACGGGGAGGGCTGTGGTGGGCACCGCGTCGGGCTCAGCCTTGACTGTGGCCGTGGAAGCCGAGTAGTAGTGCGGGTGGTGGTACCACTGATACGACGAGTACTGCGCGCCGTACTGGGTGCTGCCCATCGTGGCGCCGTACTGCGCGTGCGCGCCGCTCCCGAAGGCGCCGCCAAGCTGCAGGGGAGCGCGGCCCACCCCGGGGAAGTCCAGCAGGTGGTGCGAGGCCATGTCGGACGCGTCGGACACTGGGGTGTGGAGCATGGTGGCGGCGGGCGGCGACGGCTGCTGTTCGGGCCACCTCTGGGTCCAGCGCTGTTGTTGCTGCTGCGCAAGCTGCGCAGTCTGTGGCTGCTGCTGCTGCTGCTGCACCTCCTGCTTCACCTGCAGCTGGTGTGAATGGCTGGCGGCTGTCTGCTGCTGCTGCTGCTGTTGGGCGTAGTGGTAGGGCATGCCGGCCTGGCCGCCGGTGGTCGCGGCGCTGGCGGGTGTCTGCTGCGACTGGTAGTGGAGGCGGCTGCAGGTCGCGGCCAGAAGGTTCAGAGGTGACACCTGGAGGCAGAGAACACAAGGGCGTTAAGGCTTGCTACGTGCGTGTGGTGCACAGTTCGTAAAAAGTCACTAAGCTAAGAGCGGTGAAGCAGGCTTCGATAAAGTCGGGTGTAGTTAAGTCCGGTACGCGCCTCCAGCCCCCCGTGCGACCCGCGTCCCTGACCACGATCCGATCTACCGATAGCCCCCCCCCCCCTCCCCACTTTCCTGATGCCCCGTGCCGAGCCGAGGACCAGCTCACACACGGCCCAGCCAAGCCTCTAATTACGCGTACCATCCGAAAAGTGAGGTAAAGCGCTCCATAACGCTTTATTGCTGATGCAAGCGCGATAGGGCCTGTCCGGGCCTAAACGATACGACCAGATCTGACCGGCCCCGGGTCCGGTGCGTGGGAGCGGGCGGAGCGGGTGGGGCGGGCGGGCAGAACACCCCCCGACCCGCCGCAGCGCGCCGCAGCGCAGCGCAGAGTGGGTGCGGTAAGTGACGCGTCGCCCGTTGCCTCACCACGCCGTGATTTCGGAGAAGGGAGGGGCGGGGTGCCCCAAGTAAAGGGGCGTGGGAGGGAGAGGTGATTCCCAGCGCCCGCCGCCACGCCGCCGGGCCGCCCGCGCCGAGCGCTCGGCTCTGAGTAGAGCGGAGGGTGGTTTGTCGAGATGGGGCGGACCCGATAGGCCCGTCCGAATTGCATGTCGATCACACGGCCCGCCCCTTCGAGGCAGATGAAGAGGACAGCACACCCTGCCGTCTACACGTACTCGCGTGATGAGTGGGAAGCCGAAGAAGTCCCTGCTCGAAAAGACTTCCCGAGGATCCCGAAGGAGAGTGCGATTTCCCGGGCTCGGTCCGTGAGCAGTAGAGGTGAATGGGGAATGCCTGAAGAACCGTGTCGAACAACGTCGACGAGCGAAAGGCCAACAGGGGGAACCCCCAGAAGAAAGGGAGGGCACGCGAAGCGAGCGCGGGGGAGAAGGCGCGGGGGCCGGGCGCCGGGCGGCACACAGGCGTACGTTGGGTGAATCTGGGGCATTCATCGTGCGTCCGCACGTCAATCGGCCGATCTGCTCTTCGCAAGCCCCCCCCCCCTCCCTTTTCAAGACTGCGTGATTACTGACCCTGCCTGCCGCCGGTGGGTCGTGCGGGTCGGGCGGGCGGGCGCCGTGAGTCTATACAGGAGTAGGGGAGGCGGGGCCGGCGCATCGCCGGCGTTAACGTCCATTAGCCCCGTAATGACCCTGGGGCCGTCATTATCACGGGTGATACGAGTGTGTGTGTGCAGACGGTCAGGTCGGCGCCGAGCAGCAGGAGCGGCCAAATTGTTTCTGGGGCGCCAAGACGGGGGTCCTCGCCGTCCCGTCCTCCAACGACGCGGGGAAAAACAACCAAGGCTATTCGACACGGGTGCGCACGATGCTGGGGGCTGCTGGGGCTGCTGCCGGCGCCGGGCCGGGCCGCCGGTGTCAGGGAAAGGATTACGACGGCCCAGCCGAGCCCCGCCCGGCTAACCTCGTTATGATAATCAAACCGGGCTCTTTAATATCGGGAGGAGCCTTCGGCCCGAACCGTTATGTACCTAGGCTTATTGCAAAGGGGCGCCGCGCCGCCGCCGTGCAGGTGCCCACCCCGTAGCCACCCCGTGGCAACCCCGTAGCCACCCCGTGGCCACCCCGTAGCCACCCCGTGGCCACCCCGTGGCCACCCCGTGGCAACCCCGTGGCCACCCCGTAGCCACACCGTGGCCACCCCGTGGCCACCCCGTGGCCAACAGGGAAGTACGTCCGGCCGGGGAATGACGCTACGACCCGGAACGGGCCCGGACGGGCAGGGTGACCAGCCACGGCGAAGCCGCAGTGACATTTTTGCGCTGTGCGAATTAAGGTCTAGCTTTAAGGGTAAAACGAGCTATCGCTGCTGCCCGTTCACCGCGGGGATGCACGAGGTCCTCTACTACCGCGGTCCCTGTTCTCCTACCCCGGTCGATCGCACACAGTCCTTGTAGGGAAAGGGAAATAACTTCAAAATGTCACAGATTCGTGGTCGCAACTCTCGTAAAAGAGGAGTTGGCGACAGGTACGTCCCCCCGGATAGTGACGGACAGCGAACCGCGTGTTAATGTAAGTCAGTGTTTTATAAACGACGGTTGGTTTGCTGATTGCTCTTTGAAAGATGCTCACCTGAGTCTGCTGGAACTGCTCGTACGAGTGGTAGCTGGACTGGTAGGCGGGGATCAGCGAGGAGGTCGCCATGGTCGCTCCAAAGTCCTGACGTTGACGGTGAGGGTAATCCTGGGCGCGCTCACTATCTCACTCGCTCTCACTAACACACACACGCATACACACTGGCGGGGTCGCAAACACACGCAGATGCACGAAGGTCAACACGTTGTTTGGCTCGGCGGCCGGCTTGAAGCTGGCGGCACAGTATCGCACGCGAACGTCCTCCCTGATGCTCGGCTGGTCTGCAACTGACTTGCGTTTGCGTGGCGTGCGTGCGAGCCGGGTCGGCGACTCCGGCGAGCGAGCGGCGTGGCCGCCCGGGCTAGGGCACTCCAGCTCCAGCTTGCTTGCAGCGGGGGAAGAGAGGGGGGGG